ATTAAAGAGATTGAAAAATCTATAAATTTATATGGAAACACAAGAGGCCACGAATAGCCAAGGCAATACTCAGTCAAAAGAACAATGCAGGAGGTATCACAATACCTGACTTCAAACTATATTACAAAGCAATAACAATAAAAACAGCATGGTACTGGCACAAAAACAGACATGAAGACCAGTGGAACAGAATAGAGGACCCAGATATGAAGCCACACAACTATAACCAACTTGTCTTTGAAAAGGCTAAAAATATACGATGGAGAAAAGCAGCCTCTTCAACAAAACTGCTGGGAAAACTGGTTAGCAGTCTGCAAAAAACTGAAACTAGATCCATGTATATCACCCTATACCAATATTAACTCAAAATGGATCAAGGATCTTAATATCAGACCCCAAACTCTAAAGTTGGTACAGGAAAGAGTAGGAAATACTCTGGATTAGTAGGTATAGGTAAGAACTTTCTCAATGGAACCCCAGCAGCACAGCAACTAAGAGATAGCATAGATAAATGGGACTTCATAAAACTAAAAAGCTTCTGCTCAACAAAAGAAATGGTCTCTAAACTGAAGAGAACACCCACAGAGTGGGAGAAAATATTTGCCAGCTACACATCAAAGGACTGATAACCAGAATATATAGGGAACTTAAAAAACTAAATTCTCCCAAAATTAGTGAACCAATAAAGAAATGGGCAAGTGAACTAAACAGAACTTTCTCAAAAGAAGAAATTCAAATGGCCAAAAAACACATGAAAAAATGCTCACCATCTCTAGCAATAAAGGAAATGCAAATTAAAACCACACTAAGATTCTACCTCACCCCTCTTAGAATAGCCATCATTAGCAACACCACCAACAACAGGTGTTGGCGAGGATGGGGGAAAAAAGGAACCCTCTTACACTGCTGATGGGAATATAAACTAGTACAACTACTCTGGAAAAAAATTTGGAGGCTACTTAAAAAGCTAAACATTGATCTACCATTTGATCTAGCAATACCACTCTTGGGGATATACCCAAAAGACTGTGACACAGGTTACTCCAGAGGCACCTGCACAGCCATGTTTATTGCAGCACTATTCACAACAGCCAAGTTATGGAAACAGCCAAGATGCCCCACTACTGACAAATGGATCAAGGAAATGTGGCATCTATACACAATGGAATTTTATGCAGTCATGAAGAAGAACGGAATGTTTATCACTCGCTGGTAAATGGATGGAATTGGAGAGTATCATTCTGAGTGAGGTTAGCATGGCCCAAAAGACCAAAAATTGTATGTTCTCCCTCATATGTGGACATTAGATCAAGGGCAAATACAACAAGGGGATTGGACTTTGATCACATGATAAAGCGAGAGCACACAAGGGAGGTATGAGGATAGGTAAGACACCTAAAAAACTAGATAGCATTTGTGGCCCTCAATGCAGAAACTAAAGCAGATACTTTAAAGCAACTGAGGCCAATAGGAGAAGGGGACCAGGAACTAGAAAAAAGGTTAGATCAAGAATTAATCTAGAAGGTAACATGCATGCACAGGAAATCGATGCGAGTCAACTCCCTGTATAGCTATCCTTATCTCAACTAGCAAAAACCCTTGGTCCTTCTTATTGTTGCTTTACTCTCCCTTCAATAAAATTAGAGGTAAGGGAAAAACAGTTTCTGCCTGGTATCAAGGGGGTGGAGGGAGAGGGAGTGGGCTGGAGGGTAAGGGAGAGGGTGGAGGAAGGGGAAGAAATGACCCAAACATTGTATGCACATATGAATAAAAAAAAAAAAAAGAAACACAAACAACAACAAATGTTGGTAAAGATGTGGGGAAAAAGGAACCCTCATACGTTGTTGGTGTGAGTGTAAATTAGTAAAACCACTATGGAAAACAGTATGGAGGCTCTTCAAAAAATAAAAATAGAACTACCATATGATCCAGCAATGCCACTCCTAGGAATCTACTCGAAGGAATGTTACTCAGGTTACAATAAAGGGACCTGTACACCCATGATTACTGTAGTATTATTAATAATAGCCAAGATGCCCCAGAGCTGATGAATGGATTAAGAAAATGTGGAATTTCTATACAATAGAATTATATTCAGCCATAAAGAAGAATGAAATTTTGTCATTTGCTGGTAAGTGAATGGAACTGGAAAACATTATCTTACATGAAGTTTAGGTGGGGTCAGAAATCCAAAGGCTGCATGTTTTCTCTCCTATATGGAATAAGGGCCCAATACATACATAAGCAATATTATATATACATACAAATAGATACAGAACACGTACCCAAGAGTGGAACCGTAGAGAAGACCAAGTGAGGAAGAAAAGAATGAAAGAAAGCTAAGGAATAATAATGTAATATATCACATCTGTGTAGGAATAACACACATTGAAACATACTTAAAACTGTTAAACAAAACAGGATGGGGGGAAAAGGGTGAGGAAGTGCAGTGGAAGGCAGTTACATCGACTTAAGCACAATGCATGTACAGGTATAGTACCAAGGCAAAAATCCCAGTGAACAATGAACACACACCTAAACAAGGAAGAACAAGAATTAAAAACAGGGGAGGGCATTAATAGGAGCGGGAGAGTAAAAGAAGGAAGTAAAGAACATGAATATGCTTTAAGTATTTTCTATTTAACAATGAATACAGAATACTAAAATCTGTTGAAATCACCATAAGAAGAGGACTAAGGTATAAAGGAGAAAAAAGTGAAGGAGATGAATCAATTCAGGCTATAATACAAATATAGATTGAAAAATCATAATGAAACTACTTGCATAGTATCTTAAACAAACAAAAATGTCTTTTTTCAAAAATAAAGGACAGGAAGGTCCTGTCTGGGGGTTGATACCAGTGGGAGGGGGCAGGATATAAGGAAAGTGTGAAGGAGGGTGAATATGGTGCAAACATTATATACTCATGTATGAAAATGGAACAATGAGAGAAGGGGGGAGGGAGGATAAAGGAGAATGATGGAGGGGCTAAATTTAACTAAGATTTATAAAATTAAAAAAAATAAATTGTTGAACTGCACTTACAATTACAATTAATATATGCAATCCAGCAATGACTAAATTTTTGTTAAATTTCCTTTCCTGTTAAGTGGTTTTATCGGGTAACAGCTATAAGCATTCAAAACTAGCATCGACTAAAATTGTTTCAGATTACTGTGTCATCCCCAAGCACATAATGTGAGATTTGGAAGGATTCAATCAGCAGGTAATTCCTCCTTATCAGAAAGGATGATTTTGTTAAAATATCTCACCTTAGGTTTAGGCACATATAGTATTTCAGACATGGGGTCTCAGTTACTACCGTAAGTTAAGAAACAGCCTCACTGACACTTAACAACAAATCCTACAAGGTGGAACACAGAAGAGGCTTGAAAAGAAAATCCCCCAGGTTTCTTTTCCTCCTTGCACTTCTCTAACTTGAATTTAACAGCAGGACAATGTTTCCCCTTTCATGTCTGCATTTATCCTAAGTATACTTTCCTCCTAACACTGGAGGGTAACATTTTCAAGAAGATCCTTTACAAAACAGGTAGAAGTTCAACCTAGCAAGTATAGATTTTTTTAAAACAAAACAAAATGCCACTAAAAGCAGAATTTCATTTGGCTTTAAATTTCTTTATCTTCAAGTATCAGATTAGAGGTTGGTGACAACCACTTCATTCCTGGGGACCCTGCTTATTAATCAGCAAGTAAAGACTGGGTATCTCTGGGTACAGGGAACCATTTTTTTTTTTTGTTCTAGTATTTGAACTCAGCTCTGTGCTTGCTAGGAAGGTACTCTACTTCTTGAGCCACACCTCAAGCCCAGGAACCTTTTTCTTAAAGTCTCAGACCTTTCTCCAAAATTATCTCATCTGTCCTAGAAAACTATTTACAAAAGTATAAACATAATAATTTAATGAGGAATATAATTTTATAGGATTTTATATTTTCCTTGCAGATGTTCCTGTATTTTCACATTTTTTAATTTTTGGTGCTGAGGATGGAAACCGTGGCTGGGTCCATGCTAGGTATTTACTCTGCCACTAAGCTTTGCACCCAGCCCCTCATAAGTATTCACGAAAATTATTTTTAAAAGCATCATTCTGTCTCAGTCATGTTAAGAAGAATGAGAAAAAAGCAATGCAATCACATTCAAAAGACTGGAGTTTTACAAGGAGGAACAAAAGGGAAGGCGGCCTGCCAGGGCAATGAGTGAAGTTAAGAATGCTGTATGGATTGAAGACTCCCTTCCAGAAGAATTTCTCTGCCTAATACTGAAATGCTCTGCAGTTAATATCAACCAGGGAAGCCATACCCTTGCAATCGTGCTTCTTAAACTCTAGTGTCTGTTCCCTAAGGTCATTCAAAACCATGGGATAAACAAGGCACCTTTTCCAAGACTTAATGTTACAGGAGGTCTAAATGGTAATGAGGTAAAAAATACTACTGAAAAATTCAGTATTAAAGCAAATAGATCTATTATGGAATAAAATATTAATTGTAAGAGTTTTTAAAAACATTTTTATTAGCATATAGCAAGAGTTTTAAAGATAACAATGTAAGATTTAAAAAAAATATAATGTTCAGAGCTGTTTCTTCATCTGCAGACAAGACACCTTAGAGGTACACTCACTCTCCTCTTACAGCTATTTCTCTGGAAACAGTTCGAGAAGCAATATCTTAGAGAAAGTTGTAGATACAATCTTTGTATCTTACTATGAACAAGGAATCTCAAACTTTTGTATGAACAGAAAAAGGGGAACAAAATATTAATCTGTAGATGCAATTATGATTTTCTTCTGTTTTAACTCTTCAGATGCAAGATATAGAACTTTTCATCCAGTTTATTCTATGTACCTCTATAACAACAATGTTCATTTGCAGGCTCACTCTGTCAAACGAGTATCTTCAAGGCCTTAACAATAGTAGCCATAGGCTTTATAGGGACATACACTATGGGAACAATAGTATTTGACAGTGTGCAATCTGTACTTTACCTGATCTTCCATTCTCTCTGTGCCTTCTAAAACAATCTTCTGGACGTTTTCTTGCCTTTCCTAAGCAAAAGAAAAATTTGATACTTGCTCATTTTTCAGTGCAGACGTGTTCTTGTGTAATTTAGTTCACAGGACAAATACTTTCAACTTTTGGGGGAAAAAAAAGGGAAGAAGGCAGGAAATGAACTCAACAAACCCACACTCTCAAAGATAAGAAAAATATAGTTAAAATACCCTTTATTCTTCAGTAACAACAAAAAACTTACTTAGCAGACAGCAGTCAATGTAAAATCTGCAGTTTCAAAAAAGGAAAATTATATACCTTTCAAATTAAACAAGATCCAGTTCTATCTGAGGAATATGGAATGGAACTTGCTGATTTTAAGTAACATTCATAAACAAGTGAGAAATGAGGTAAATTTGCAAATATAGTAAAAACCTACTCTATTAAAAGTTGTGATATTTTCTCATAATCAGTTAGAAGCCTTATAAAATTAGTAATGATTTAATAGACTTTCAGGGTGGTATTAAACCAGAAAGTAGGAAGGAGAATTAAAATTGTTCTTTAGATATGCCAAAAGTATACTGAGGTGTAAATGTCATTATACATTAAACTATATGATTTGAGGGACAACAATAATTGCCTCTAGTTTAATCTGCAAAATTAAAAGGAATATCTCCTAAAACCATTTGGCCCAACCTCATCATTTTTCAAATTTGAGAGGTTAACAAAGAAGTTAAAAGGGAACAAAGAAGTAAGACTACATGGCTGACAGCTTAACAAACAATTGTTTTGAACTGTTATACCTACACCTGGTAGTAAGTGAAAGGCAGGATCATGCACTGGAATATTAAAAGTTTTTAAAATCAAAGCTTCTGAGACAAATCCAGACTCTACGTTTCTTAGTTTCTCTTAAGCTTTAAGTTGTGGTTTGCTAACATAGAGCCACCATGAACTGCCTTCCATGGTTACTGTGAAGATTACAGACTTCAGACCAGATCGATTTGTATCTAACAGAACAGACAAAATAAATACTACCTATTGCATGGTGTTAAATGAATAGTTTCTAAAAATTAGATATAAATGTATCACAAAATAAACTTTAAATGGCCAGGTCAGCATGATTAATAAGCTCAAAATCCACTTACCTTATGCATCCATATCCTTCCTTTCCGAATGATATGTGTTAATCTATCAACACAAACTCTGTGAAGTGGGAGGTAGAAACTAAGTTCTGTCTGTGGAAGTATAATTGACAGTCCATAAGTACTCCGATCTCCATTCCAGTTTCCATCAAAGATTAATGAAACAATAATTACTCCTTTTTCAGATAAAACAAAAAACTTCACATCTATAGCTCCACTCTCTGCATTGCGAAGAATTTCTCCATTTAGGGTATGGTTGGCAAGAAAAGTTATTTCTCCATCACTGAGAAGTACCTGTTCTGTCTTTGGAGCCCAAATGTGCCTTACTCTAGGACCAAGAATATTGTCCCAGTAAGCAAAAGTAGCTGCTAATAAAGGAGATTCACCACTTAAAGCAATTTCTGTCTTGGCAACAGCTGGAGATGGAGGAGGGCAGAGAGTCGACATCACTGCATCCCAACTCTCACATTATTCAAATGCTCCAGAGATGCCTAAACAAGGACAAACACCACCAGTAATTAGGTTCAGCAAATTTAAAGACATCATTCTAAACCCCAAATAATTTACAAAAAAACACTCACAGAATAGACCATCACTGGTCTCAAATATCTCATCTATGTGCAATTCTAGTATGATTGGATATTTAGATCCTAAACCACTGTAACTCAAGAACTGCAAAATAGGAAGGGGACAGCTGGAGATAGTGACACTTGTGGGTTGAATTATGTTCCCAAAAAAGTATGTTCAAATCCTAACCTTCTGTATATGTAAATGTGACATATTTAAAAACATGTAATTAAGTTGAGACCATACAAGATTAGAATGCATCCTATTCCAATGACTGATGTACTTATAAAGAGAGATATTTGGAGATACACAGGCACAAAGAAAGAGAATGTGAAAACAAAAGGCAGAAAATGTGCAACTAGAGCCAAGGATTACTGGTAACCACCCAAAGTGAAACAGGCAAGGAAGGAGGCTTTGCTACAGCCTCCAGAGGATCATAGGATCATCTTCCTGCTGACACCTTGGTAGTAGATTTCTAGCTTGCAGAACTGTGAGAAAATAAACTGCTGCTATTTTAAGCCATCTAGCTTGTGTTGCTTTATGATATTACTAGAAAACTAAAGCAACACCTGACAGCAGGAATACATTAAACCTGCTAGAAAGACAGAGAAAGAAGAAAAAGAGAGAAAAAGAAAAAGAGAAAGAAAAGGAAGGGAGGGGAAGGAAAGGAATATAAGATAAAAAAGCAAAAACATAAAACAAGGAACCACAAGTCTGCAGCCATAACAGACTTGTATTACTCTCATACTCTCAATGAGCTCTGGGTATCAGGCACTGAAGTCCAATACTGCTGTTTAAAATGACACTGAAACATAAAGACAAATACATTTAATATGTTAGTCAAGAAAGATACATATAAAAACTTTTTTTTGCAGCACTGGGGTCTGAACTCAGGGCCTACACCTTTTAGCCACTCAACCAGCCCTTTTTTGTGAAGGTTTGTTTTGAGACAGGGTCTTGCAAACTATTTGCCCTGGCTGGCTTTGATCCGCAATCCTCCTGATCTCTGCCTCCTGAGTAGCCAGGATTATAGATAGGCATGAGCCACTGGCACCCAGCAGCAGTATAGTATTTTATCATGTTAACAGAGTTCTTTACTAAGTGGCTAATATGAAAAAGCTTTAGTTATTTAGAACACATTGAGAATAAAAGGGATAGATGTACCTTGCTCATAACTTTCATTCTACTGAGAAAACAGGCATACGAGGAAGAGCAAACAAGTTTACAGCAAAGTTAGAATCCAGGGTTCAACTTGTATATCTTAAACACAAATATAATCACTCTGAAAGGATACAGCCTATGTAGTATTCGTATAAAACTAATCATTCTTGCAAATACTGTAATTGAAGTCTTGTAATTAGAAACTTAAAAGTGAAAAAACTTATGACAATTTAAGCAATCTAAAATTGTGGAATCTATTTTTTGTAGATAATGGAGGGCTGGCAGTGGCTCAAGTGGTAGAGCGCCTGCCTAGCCCACTAGGCCCCCAGTCCAAACCCCAGTACCACCAAAGGAAAAAAAAATGGAGGGAAGGAAGCTTATAGGTGAACTATGATACACCTGTCTTTATATGATTACTTTGGGAACTACCATTTTTATCTATAACAAAATTTATGTCTATGTAAACCATTTTACTTAAAAATTTTTTTTATCTATATCTTGTCAAGATAGCTCATAGTCTGATGAAAAGCAATGGCTTCTATTTTTAGAGCACTAGGTGAATTTTTAAAAAATCAATTTATTTTTTATTCATTTATTTACATGTGCATACATTGTTTGAGTCACTTCTGCCCCCTGCCCCCCCCACCCCCGGCTCCCCCGTTCCCTCGCTTCCAGGCAAAACCTGTTCTGCCCTTATCTCTAATTTTGGTGAAGAGAAGACATAAGCATAATAAGAAAGACAAAGTGTTTTTGCTAGTTGAGATAAGCACAGCTATACAGAGAGATTCCTAGCATTGCTTCCATGTACAAATGTGTTACATCCCAAGCTGATTCATCTCTAACTGATCTTTACACTGGCTCCTGATCCCCTTCTCCTGTTGACCTCTGTTGCTTTAAGGTTTCTGTATTAGTTCCTCTGGAGTGGGGACATCAAATGCTTTCATGTTTTGGGCTTACTAAGTTAATTTTTTTTGTATTGTGAATAGGCATACAGAGCTTGGCAGAACGCTTTACCTTAAGTACATGCAAAATCGTTTAACACAAAGACAGGATTACAAGTGCATTTTTAATTCTAGAAATTCATTTAGGTACAATTTACTTTTTCATGTGTCAATTGTCTTAAGAGACCACAGTAAATATAAATTGTACAGCTTGTTAAAAATATCCACTGTTTTGGATACAATTGAAACAACCAATTTACAGTGATGAAACACAGTAAAATAATTTGAATTGAAACTGTAATGATGCTATTGCTGTCATCATTAACAACAGCAAACTGGAGCCCAAGGTGATAAATTAAGTAAACACACCACCTTAAAATTATACTGTAAACATCTTTCTTTTATTCTTTCTTTTTGGATAAAGGAAACAAGTCAAACATTCGGCCATTACACTGAAAATAAAAGCTCTTCCTAAAACAGAATTGAGCCCTAGAGCAAAATCTGAATTATGGGGAAACTTTTTACCTGATTGTGAAAATTATGCTATTGTCAACCACTAACTACATTTCGTTTCACAATCAGAAAGAAAATGAAAGGTAAGGATCATGTTCAATTGTTTAGCTGTAAACGCTGCCAAAAAAATATTGTGGTTGCCCCTTTACCTTGGGGACATGTTCTAAGACCACCACTAAAAACCCGAAACTGCAGATAGTACCTAACTCTATGTATGTTATTTTTTCTTTACATGAATACTTATGATAAAGTCTAGTTTATAAGTTAGGCATAGTAAGAGATTAACAATAAGAAAATAAATAATTATAACATACTGTAATATGTGAATGTGGTCTCTCAAAATATCTTATTGTATTGTACTCACCCTTCTTCTTCCTTCAATGATGGGGGACAATATAGTGCCTACACATTGAAAAAGTGAGGTGAGTACCATATGCCCTGTGATTTAGCTATAGGCTACTACTATTGACCTTGTGATGATACATCAGGAGGAGGACTATCTGCTTCAGGTGACCATTTAGCTCTAACATTGATGGTTAGATGGCAGGAGTAGACAATATTGTGGCTGAAGATCCTGCATGGTTGAACGTTTTTAAATCTTTTGGACAAACACTGTAATTGGAAGTTGTTGACCTTTTTTTCTTTTAGCTCATCAAAATGTTGCTGTAGAGGTTATAATTCTCTTGGTGACTTTAATGCAATGCTCTATCCAAGAACTGCTTTCTATAACTTTGTCCTTTAATGTGCAATTTGATACCCTTTGTCAAACTTCAGAAATGTCTACATTGCTGGCTCTGTTTCAATTTCTTCTTCCTCTTTCTCTTAAGATTACTAAGTAAGTTCTTCCAATTCCTCATTTGCTAAAACTTCCCAGTGGCCTTCAATGTGCTTTTCTACTTCTTCATCAAGCATGTTAAGTAACTCCTTTTCCACAAACTGGTTTTGTAGCTTCTCCAGTAATTTTTGCATTTTTCAGTCCAAACACATTCCTGAACCTGTGTAACCATGCCTTACTTGCCGTAAATGACTTATCACACATTTCAGATGAACTTTTGCTGAAGTCTTTGTACAAGCTTAATGCTTTTTTGGTGTAACACACTGTCAGAAGTTGGAATGTTTTCTCTTTATATCTTCCATCCACAAAGTTAATGTCTTTCCACATTAACTAAGCACTTATCACACACTATGGGGTTAGCTTTGTAATCTGAAGCACGACAGCAAGACAGCATAATTTATTTCACAGACAGAAGATTCATTCTTACCATATATCTTAATAACCTCACCATATAGGTTATTTTTCTTTCTTTATTGAGCACTTTTATCTTTTCACCTAAAAGAAGGACTTTATGTCTTCTCTGGCACATCCAAATTGCCACCATCACTACTCCTGTACCTGGGTTTATTGAGTAAAATAAGGGTTACTTGAGTACTAGTACTGTAGTACTGAGACAGTCAACCTCATATCTATAATGGTTACTAAATGACTAACAAGCAGGTGGCATATATACTGGTGATACACTGGACAAGGATATGCTGGACAAATGGTTGAATCATGTCCTGAGTAGGACAGAGCAAAAAGGTGCAAAATTTCATCATGCTACTCAGAATGATGTGTTAAAACTTACAAATTATTTCTGTAATTTTACATTTAATATTTTGGTCTGTGGCTAAATGCAAATCACGAATAAGGGGGAACTACTATAACCTAAGAAATAAAACAGCACAGAGCATTATTATTAAGAAAGTTTGTAAAAACAATTTTACTAATACTTGAAGTTGCCATCTTTGGTGAGGAAAATCCATATAACAAATGAGGAATCAGTTCAAAAACCAACAGGCTTTTATGTATGCATCTTAAATATATATAGTATTGGCTACTCCAGAAGGTTATCAAACATTAGCTCAGAGTCTTTTGAGGGAAGCCAGGATCCAAATTGGGTGAGATGGTGGCTTGCCACTCCTGTAAACAAAGCACAGGGTTCATGAGGGAATACCCAATACACTTTCTAAAAATTATCCAACATCTGTGACATATGACTAATTAATCCACATCTGTTAAAACTGTTAGTAGACTGGCAAGTTTGAGCTTTTTCTTTTCTTTTAAAACTTTGCTAAAAATCAGCCACCTCTTTCCTGATTGGATTTAGAAAGCTGATTGACTTACTGCTACTATGAATCAGAATTCTACCATTGAAAGGACCCTCACTTCTAGCAGCAATGCTTTTTGTTTTTCTCAGCCCTTAGAGAAGCAGGGTTCTAAACAAGCCTACCTTGCAAAACCAGGTCTACACAGGACCACTTTAAGGACACCAGACTCTTTTAACATGTTCTAAGTTTTCAACACTAGGCAAGATTCAGAAATGATGTTCAGCTCATGGTATCCCTATCGGATCCTCTCTCAGAGATACAAGTTTCTCAAACAGGCAGACTAATTTCTCACCCTTTGGAACTGTTCAACTAACACGAAGCTCAAAACAGGCTTGAAAGACAGAAGAGGCCACTGTCTTTTTTTTTTTTAAGCTTATTTCTCTGAAAGCAAATACTAGACTACCAACATAGCCAAATAAAGTGACTATTTTATCCACTTCTTAAGTTGTAGGCAAATGTTTCCTGGAGCAGATGATTGCTGGCTTAATGCACAATCTACAAGTGGTCTATAATTTTTCTCCTTTTTGTTTCATATGTACAAAAAGCAGTCACTATGAAGCAGTTTCCAACCGATTCAGAGTTTTCTAGAATGGCAGGGTTGGAGGAAGGTGCTGGTCAACAGTGCCTGTGTAACACCAACATCATACCATAGTCCCCCCTTATTCACAGTTTTACTCTCTGCAGTTTCAAGTACCTGTGGTGAACCTCGGTCCAAAATATTAAATACAAACTTCCAGAAGAGAAGAATTCATGAGTTTTAAATAGCACACCATTGTGAGTAGTGTGATGAACTCTCACGCTGTCTGCTCCATGAGTGTGAAGCATCCTTTTGTCCACGATGTGCATGCTATATCCACTTCCCACCCATTAGTCACTTGGGCAGTCCTCTTGGTTATGAGATCCAACTGCCCAGGTATCAAAATTCTTGTGGTCAAGTAACCCTTATTTTACTTAACAAAGGTGAAAATACAGTAAGACATTTTGAGACAAAGCTCACCTAACTTTTATTTCAGCATCTCGTTGCAATTGTCCTATTTTATTATTAGTTGTGGGTAGTAATCTCTTATTATGCCTAACTTATAACTTCAAATTTATCACCAATGTGTATGTAAAGGAAAATTGATGGCATACTTAGGGTTCACAGCATATATAGGTACTATCTGTGGTTTCAGACTTCTCTGGGGTGGTCTTACATATCCCCTGAAGATAAGTGAGTCGGGGCCACAGTATTTCAAATATTCTGATTCTGTATTATTAATAGCCCATATATTATAGTCTTTTTTCTGTGATGTTCTGACATTCTGTTAAAAGTTTTCCAAAGCTGGTTATGGATCCTAACATTATCTTCCCGTCCTGCTTTGAAGCTTTTGTACAAAGTAAAGAGTAATGTCAGACAGACTGTGAGCCTTACTTTCCATCACTGGTGATGGATGGGAACAGTATGAACAGGAATTTATCCCCCTGCCACAGGGGACGTGCAGCTCCCCTAGAGCCTAACGAAGTCCAGGCGCGTGAAAGGACTTCCCTCCTTTCCCTGAATACAAGACGCGGCGGAGCTCACCGAAACCAGACAGACCCCGTGCAGACACAGACATGCAATCAGTGCACTTCTTTCTGCAACTGATTGCCATCAGGAAAATGATGCCCAACTCGCAATGGTCACTTCCTTTGCTAAGTGTGTGCAATCTCAGGCAGTGAAGCAACCGGGTCATGTCCCACAGAAGGCGAGTCCGCCCCGCCTGGCCCGGCTGCAGAGCTAGGAGGAGCCACGAGCACTTCTTACAAACTTCGCCTTTCCCCGCCGCATCCCACCCGCGCCGGGACCCTGGCAGAAGGTCCGCGCCGCCGCCTCGGGCGCCCCGGCCAGGGCAGGCCCCCGGGCGCCTCAGGCTGGTCCTCGCCAGCTCGCTGTGGCGGCGCTCGCGGCGGGCTCCCCATGGGTCCCCAGGAAGGAGCTGGGCCGGGGAATGCGGGCGAAAAGCAAGCGGGAAACAGGCCTGACTGATCCCCAGCCCTGCCGGAGCCCGGGCCCCAGATGCGGGCAACTCCACTGCTCGCCAGGCTGGAAAGCCCGATGGCGGCTTTGGTCACGGAAGAGAGGGGTTAGCGAGAGAACGAGTGGAGCCCCGAGGACAAACCCCGCTGCCACCCCGGCGGCGTCCCTGCAGTCTGACCCCAAACATCCGCCCGCTGGCCCGCCGGCACCTCACTCACCCACTCGTCGCCGCCAGCGCCTCCGCCACCGCCTCCGCCACCGCCGCGGGCGCAGGGACCGCAACCGCAGCCCGCCCCGCCCCGGTCCCGCCCCTGACCCCGCCCCCTGCCCCGCCCCTCGCTCATCCCGGTTGTTCCCGAGGCGCCTCGCCGCCGCGTTGGTTTCCAGCCTTGGGTTCATCTTTCTCCGGTCTTTTCTTGCTCACGCTTAGCGAACAAGTGGAGGGCGCGAAGGGCGGAGAAACAGAAAATACGCACCTCCTAGACGCACACCTCCTGACCTCCGCCCTTTAGAGGTGAAAACCCGGGCGGCTGACGCTCCGATCGCCATCTTTCATGTGGGCGGAACTTGTTACTGCGTGCGTTACGCACCTTCATTTCCTGACGGGGCATCGTAGGTTGCGTCCAGACGTTTTCACTTAGCGATGACATTGGCGCACGAGGCCAGTGAAAGGGGCGGAGCGGGCGGCGGGAGGACTTGCAGGTCTGAAAAAACGTCTTTGCTGCGTGCGCCTACTTACCTAGGTGGTGCTGTCAGTAATCGGAAAACAAGCTGGCACCAAAAAGGAATAAATATTTTAAAATAGTTTTGCTTTTGCTTGCAGGTAAGGTAGTGGGTGCTCAACAATTATTTGATGAACGAATGAATTTATTTTTAATTTAGGAGTTACTGTTGTAACTCCTCTCCAAGCTCAATGATGTAATCCCCCCTCTCCATCCCTCCGCGTCACCGCAGTTTTTGTAAACGTCATTTTTGCTAATTGCACAATGTGTGTGATGTTTTAATCCTTGGAAAAAAAATGTACCACTACGTTTGATGTGCTTTATGATATTCTTGTAAATGTGTATATTACAATTTTTTCATTACATATTTGTAGCACTTGACATTTTTCAACGTTAAAAATCGTAAAACGCGTTTTTATCATTCACAGAAGGGAAGAATAAATACACAAAATGCTTCTCATGAGTCTACACCCTCCGCGGAAATAGACCTTTACACACTGTTTTATGCTTATTAACCAGATAATTACTCTTTTGTACCATGCCCCTCAGTTCATATAGATTCATTTGTACGTGGAATCGAAATTCGAATTCGTAGAAACGGTAGAATGGTGAATGGGAGGCTGGCGGTGGGGGATGGGGAGCTGTAGGTCAAAGGGTAGGAATTTGCAGTTACATCAGACAAACAAGTCTACAGCATGCGGACTATAATTAATATTATGTTCTGTTCTGGAAATTTGTCAAGGAAGTAGAAGTTAGGTAGTATCACACACAGATAATTTGCTTGACTGTGGTAATCAATATATCAAAACGTCATGTTGTACACTTTACACACCATAAAAAAGTATTACACCTAATCCTGTTGACATCTTTAGGATATTGATATTATCATCTCCATTTTACAGAGGAGATAATTGGAGTTTAGAGAGTAAATTATTTACGCAGGCTCTCCTGCTTAGTTGATTTAGGTCAGTTTTGTGCAATTTCAGGACCACTGGGAGCTGAGGACATCAGTTTGGTCCAAAGTAAACCAGGTTGATGATAGCCCATCTCAGGTAATACCTGAGGTAGTTAATACTAACACCTCCACTTCAGAGTAAGATTGGAACCTGGAATACATGCCTGAGGAAGAATACAGCTCCTAAAATGGTTTTACTTCAAAATTTTACCAACAAACAAAATAATTTTCATTGTGTCCATCAGGTTTCTGGCTTTGTGCAATGTGAACCTTAGAACAACTATTTCATAACAGAAAAGTAATGAAACACACCACAAGACCTAAAATTATACATGACCATAAGAAATAAGATGCAAGTTATCATATAAAACTTAGTATTTTGCATGATGTTTTGTGTGGATCAATGGGTGTGAATCCCATCCTGCGCATCTAATTGATTATTTAGTCACTGATGTAGTAGTACAGCGAATTGTATGACTTCATTGGACTGGAGTGAAAATTTAAAAATCAGGGGGAACCAATAGTTATAATGTAGTATGGTGGTCCATAATATTTGTGTTTCTTGAAGGTGCAAAATAGGAGAACAAATATTCTAACACACATCCTTTCTTCAGCAAACCAAAGAAAAAATTGTGTTAAGTCTTTAGTAGTATGATCCATATTAGCCTCACCAAAGATTGGCTTGGAAGATCTTTAACTCTTACCCTTCAACTTCCCCAACAAACCACCCCAAATAACTAGCATCTAATTGAACGTAAGTTAGCAAGACTTCTTTATATATAGAAATATCTCTTCAAACAAGATCCACAGACTCCCATTTCCAACCAAAATAACACCCTTAAAAACGCTCTATAGAATTTTTGAACTATCCACATGTGAGTAATAATCACACAAAAAAGGCTCTCCAACTAGGGGAATAGGAAAGCAGGTTAAGAGATTGGGTTTTGAGATCAGAGCTGGTATGAGTATTGTCTTTGCTTTTGATTAATTATGAAAATTTGGGCTTCTCTTTAGGATTTTTTTTGACAGTCCTGGGATTTGAACTCAGGGCCTCAGTCTTGCTAGGCAGGCACTCTGCCACTTGAGCCACATCTCCAACCCTCTTAGCTTCTCTTTGCCTCAGTTTTCTCACCTGCAAAATGGCATGCACAATAATTTCTCACAGGGTTGTGAGGCTTATGTGCAAGCTAGGATCAGTACATTGAAGAAGTGATGACTCTAATCTCAATGTTAGTAACTACTCAGGATAATAGAAGCAATAAGAAATGACTTATAAGCCTTTTAAACTATAAAATGAATTACAATTCTAATTCATACTATATCAGAATCCAAAGAACCTTCCTACTGCATCACAAATACAAGTTCTCAGGAAGCCTTTCTTCATCTTCTCTATTAATATATTTCAGAAATGTGGTATGTGCTGCTGCAGAGCTGGAGCCGAAAACTTGTTGATTAGCTCCCATTTACCAAGATTACAGCAAATTAGATTTAATTGTGACTAGCATGTGAATGATCTCATGTCGGACATGGATGAGGAATACTGCCATATAAACCACAGTGCGTTTCAATTCATTTCTTTTATGTGGCTTAATCATTGCAGACTTATCAATATGCACTTACGGTACATTGCCTTTTGGTTGGAATATGAATGAACCAACACCCAACTGAGGTGTATCTTGGTTCCTGACTATAAAAAGGTAATTAATTCTGTAAGCCAGTGTGACATAATGACGTATATTGCCAGGAGCCAACACTTTGCAGTTCCAACAATTCACAATGTCAGCAGCACCCCTGTAAGAGAATGTCATTAGAATCCAATATGTATATTTACTTTCAGCTCCTCCTGGGAGTCATGATTCTATAAACAATAAGCCGATATACTTCTCAGTCAGCGTAGCCCCTGTTTCTTCTATGTTGGTGCTCTGTACCTTCCAAGCATCACTTGTGAATGACATACAGTCCAAACTGGAATCCCAGAGGGCAGGATGGTTACCTAGTCCATTGCACGTCATAAAATACACACTATGAAAGAGAACAGGGATTAGGAAAACAAAATCATCACTTTCCTAAGTCTTAGACAAGGTCACTCAGAAAGGAGGAGAGATTTTGAAACTGTAATTCCTTTAAAGAAAGAGAGGATTTGCACTTGTACATTGATAGGCTGGTCGTAATTTGATGAGCTTTAGATGCAATCAACAGTGCGCACTGATGGTATTGGTGCTATCCTGTACCCCTGAGTCACAGACAACCTGTGCAGAGGAGACAGACTCTCAACAACGACTCTCTTCCAGCCACACACTTCCCCAATACAACTCAGAGAGTCTTCCTGTGATTCTGCCAACCTTTCCCTCTCTTTGCAACTCTCAACATTTTTGCACTTATATTTGTACTTTATTGTACTCACTGGTGTGTGGTGCTTTGTAAGTAGATTCTTTAGTTATTTCCTGTGTGGTATGAAATAACTGCTTCTCAACTTTGTCACACGCTATTTGAACACATTATTTGAGACGTAAGGCTATATGCTTACAATCTTATCCGTTGGTTCCTTTGCTTTTTAGCACATCCGGTGATTTGCAAATGCCAGATAACTGATTGAAACTTTGCTCCAGTTACTCAGAAGTATTAGTTATCTTTAGATCAGGCTCCCATGAAGCAACTGCATTTTTTGAAAATAGTTTGCCTGTATTTAAGAGTTAGGGTCACTCTGTCTCTCAGGGTCACCCAGGATCAGTGACTCAGGGTCACTCTGTCACTCAGTAGGCAAGAGAGCTGTGGGGAGCTTACATCTCTTTTGTCATTAATTTATCCCTGTTCCTATCTCCCCTCTTCCCTGCTCCCTATTCTTCCTTCCTTCCTTCCCCCCTTCTTTCTTTCTTTCTCCCTCCCTCTTTCCTTCCCTACTTCCTTTCTTGTTTTTGGTGGTACTGGTGTTTGAACTCAGGGCCTTGTGCTTGCTAGGATGGCTTGCTAACTATACCCCAACCTTCTCCCTCCTGTTTGTTTATCTCAATAAAGAAATAGAAAATAAGCACAACTAATATCTCTGGGCCAATTTAAAATCATTTAGTTTTTGAAATATTTTGACATCTGCTGGGATTTGACATCTACCCTTTCTCTACTTTAAAATTATTTTGGCAAATTTGGCCCTTTCTCTTCCATATGGATATAAGTACTCTTTGCAAACTTTCACAAGTAACTTGTGATATTCTTATTGGAGTTGCATTGGATATATGGATCCATTTTGTTGTTTTTCCATTATGAGCATGGTGGAGCTCTCTACTTATAACTTTTCCTATTACCATTAATTAGGTTTTATAATTTTCTTTGAAAAGTTACTTCACAAATTTTGTGAGATTCTTTCAAGTTCTTGTTTTTTTTTGGCCTGAGCCACTGGAGTAGCTCCAAGTTTGGTATATTTTTTTGTGGTACTGCGGCTTGAACTCAAGGCCCATACCTAGAGCTACTCCACCAGCCCTTTTTTTATTTTGGGTTTTTTGAGATAGGGTCTTGTGAACTATTCACCTGGGCTGCGTTCAAATCTCGATCCTCCTGATCTCTGCCTCCTGAGTAACTAGTATTACAGGTATGAGCCACTGGTGCCTGGCTCCAAGTGATATTTTAATGTGTTACTAAAAATCGTTTCTTCTGAAGATAACATTTTCTAATTGTGGCTGAAATTCAGCAATGCTAGTTTTATATGTTTATTTTATATTTGGTAACCTTGCAAATTATTTTTATTGCAAACAAAACAAAGCAAACCAATAAACTCCAAACCAAAGGATAATTATTATTTCACTTTCATGTTCTTCAGCTTTTAGTTGCTTCCCATTTTCTTTTCTTTTATTTTTTTGTGGGCACTTGGGTTTTAACTCAGGAT